GCTTGGCAACTGATTCATATTTATGACAGTCACAATGTCCCAGAGTCATGTGAAGTGACCAAAACCTGCTGCAACCACCCAGCAGGCAGAGGGAATAAAAACCAAACACCACCCCCACCCCACCCCCACTGCCAATCCTCAACAGAAATGCTCACAACAATGAAAACCTCGGACAGGAGGAAGAGCGCCGCCGGGTAGGCAGGCAGGTGTCCTGCTCAGCACTTTTTTCAGTGCCATTATAACTTCGAACAGTCACTAAGCAAACTGTTGTAAGTCAAGGACTACCAGTACTTCATCACTTTTTTCCTTTTGGGGGGGGGTCATCAAGTTTTTGACACCTTCCTAGACGACTGGTGGTACTTAGATATTACCATATCCTAAAAGTGGTACAATGCGTGAAAAGGTTGAAAAGCTCTGACCTAGAGTACACTGTAGTAGTCAAGTTCCCTGGGGGCATGAATGACTGGAGGACCTCCTCCTCCTCCAGGAAAGAGCACAATTGGTGCACTAATTGAAGTTGCATAAAGGCAGGAGCTGTAAATCAAAGGTGACCCCCCCCCCCAGATTATGCACCATCCTTGAATGGGGAAGAACAGCTTCATTACCAGGCTAGGTAACATCTTCAGCGGCGTTTAGGGTGTCAATGCTCTTCTGTGTTGTAAGGGCTTCAGGAGTGGGTGTGTCAACTGAGGGTCTTTTGATGGGTCAGGTGTGAGTCATCAGAGAGAGGCTTGTGATGGGGAGGTTATTTCAGGTCAGGATCGGTGGAGGGTGTGAATTATCAGCGGGTCAAGTGTGAGTCATCAGTGAGTCATCTTATTAAACAGAAGTGCTCTGACACAGACCTCCCCTAAACGCCGCTGAAGATGTTACCTAGCCTGGTAACTAAATGTTCAGAAACCAACCCACAAGCTCGGAGAATGAACCTTCACCCTCATCCTACACCTGAGCTGCAGATATTCTCCACTATTGCAAAGTACAACTTCAGCCGAGGTCAAAGTTACACTCTCCCTGGATCTAAGGGGCCCTAACAACCACAGCCACTCAGTCCTTGGTAGGACTGAGCTGAATACATGTCCATCCAGGTCCTTGCACCCTCCAGGCAGATAGACAACACTTGGACATCCTCATTTGACCAGCCTGGGGTCGAAGCCCAGTGGTTTCATGTGGGTGTTGAATTGGGGGGCGGAGAGAGCACCAAGCCTTGTGGTATCCCACAAAGGATGACATCTCCCTCCCACCAAATGAATGGAATGGAATAGAATAGAATAGAATAGAATAGAATAGAATAGAAGGGACCTTGGAGGTCTTCTAGTCCAGCCCCCTGCTCAAGCAGGAGAATCTATACCGTCCCAGACAGGTGAATGTCTACTCTCTTCTTAAAAATCTCCAGTGATGGAGCGCCCACGATTTCTGGGGATAAGCTGTTCCATTGGTTGATTGTCTTCACTGTCAGGAAGTTTCTCCTTAATTCCAGGTTGCTTCTCTCTTTGATCAGTTTCCAACCATTGTTTCTCGTCCTGCCCTCTGGTGCTTTGGTGAACAATCTGATCCCCTCTACCTTGTGGCAGCCCCTCAAATACTGGGACATGGCTATCATGTCTCCCCTATTTCCTCTTTTCTTTAGACTAGCCAAACCCACGTCCCGCAACCGTTCTTCGTATGTTTTAGTCTCCAGGCCTTTGATCATTAATATTGACTGAAACCAGCCCTGGAGGAAGGAAGAGAATCACCACAAAATAGTTCCCCCAGGTTCCCATGTCCAAGAAGGTTACCATAGTTGACCGCATCAAAAGATGCTGAGATTAAGAAGAACAAAGAAAAAGGCACCATTTCCAGCCTGGTTTTGCCGCAGGTCACCCTCAAGCACAACCAAGGTTGTCTCCACACTGAATCCTAACCCTGAATCCTGCCTGAAACAGACCAAAATAACCTGCTTGCTCCAGGGTTCTCGGCAGCTGCAGGCTGACCACCTTCTCCACACCTTACTTCCTTAAAAAGTAACTTAACCTTCACATTCTGTGTCTTGCTACACGGGGCTGGGGTGACGGCGCGCATGCCCACAGAGAGGGCTCTGAGTGCCGCTTCTGGCACGCGTGCCATAGGTTCACCACACCGGAATATAGCATGATGGATATATAGTAATACCTATGCTGGCCTCTTGCATGTCAAAACTTTCTTGAGTTTCTCAGTTAAGCAGGAATGTTCTTGTTCTCTTTCCAGAGTGCTGTGTCCTTCCAGGAGGTAGCCGTGTGTTTCACAAAGGAGGAGTGGGCCCTGCTGGATTCCATGCAGAAATCCCTCCATGGGGAAGTCATGATGGAAAATTCCAGAAATGTGACTTCTCTGGGTAAGGGCCCTTACTTCTTTGAGTTCAGGGTGGAACGGAAAGCAAGTAAGAACTAATCAAGCGGAAGTCCCTACGGCAGTCATGGCGAACCTTTTAGAGACCGAGTGCCCAAACTGCAACCCAAAACCCACTTATGTATCGTCGGGTGCCGAGTAGGCGTGGCCCATTAGGTGGGCGTGGCCCATTAGGTGGGTGTGGCTGCGGTGGTAACGGCAGACTGGGTGGGACTAAAAAGTTCAATCAGTCAATTCCAACTTTGTGAGATCTCTTTTTTCCCACGAGAAGTTGAAATTGATTGTGTCAACGCTGCAAATACTGTATATTCTTGCTTTGACAATATGCAGAACTGTCTGGTATTTTTATAGTTAAACCAGGCAACAGGGAAAAGGGAGGAGAATAAGGATAGCCCAAACCGGAAGTAAATCACATCTTCCAAGTTAATTGGAAGATGTGAACCATGACCCCAAAATAGAGGCAGGGAAAAATGCTTGGAAT